CTGGTACCGTCTCGACCCCCTCATCACCTGGACCAGGATGAGCACGGAGAGGAGGAGGGGGAGGAGGAGGAGGAGGAGGAGGAGGAGGAGGAGGACGTAGTAGCGCACTTCTCCGGACTCGAGCATCTCCGGTGGGGACCGATTGCCCAGCATAAATTAATTCTTGTTCAAGCACGAGTATTTGCGCAAGGCATCGTCGGGAATCTCCAGAGGCTCTGGGAGCCGCTGCACTATCTCGGCCATGCGATGGCCCGATCCGAGCCGAGTGAGCGGAATGCTCGTTTGCAGAAATCCCGAGCTCATAGTATTCCCGGGCAGGTCAATCACGCACTCGAGGAAATCAAGAAGATTGACGCTCAAAATGTGCGGGATGTCTTCGGCCAGCACCGTGGCTTCCACGATGCCTAGCGACGCTCCGAGGCATACTGGGAACAGCACAGTGCCTAAGACTTTGGCAGCTCCTCCTACCCCGTGAACTGCCCGCGGCCGCTGCGACTCCTTCGGGATCGTCTCGTAGCACATCCCCAGGTCGGCCAGGGCTCGGGACTCGCGGTTCAGCGCGATCAGCCCCACCAGGTCGCTACCGGCGCCAGGGTCGACCAGCGCCTGGGTCGCGGCCGCCGTCAGGTACACCTCGGACTGGCCGTCTGCCTTGAGGTCCTCGAGCATGTCCGAGGTCAGCTGCTCCTCCGGGACCGCCTCGCAGCCGACGAGCGCGTGGGCCGACGCCGTGCGCCTCTGGCCCCGCTGCTGCTGCTCCTGCCTGTACTTCGGGTTGTCCTTGTCCGGACATTCGCGGTGCCAGTGGCCCTTCTTCTTGCAGATGCCGCACCGGGTGGTCTTCATCGGCTGCTCCTTGGACAGCTGCGGGCGCCTACGCGCGCCACGGCCAGCGCCTCTGCCGCGGCCCTGGCCGAAGCGCTCCGGGCTGGCGCGCCCGCGCTCGCCCTGCCCTGCTCGAGGCTGAGGAGGAGGAGGCACTCTGGACCGTGGTCGTCCAAAGTACTCGCGGTCCTGACGGGCCGCGCGCTTCGTGTCTTTGTTCTGCTTCCACGTGCGAGTGCTGGGCCTGGACTCTATCATTGCCAAGGCCTCGTCGATCTGGTCCTCGTCCAGGTCCAGGTCTTCAAGCTCTGCGAGGAGCGCCGCCTCGTCCTCCCCGTCGTCGTAGTAGTCGTCGTCCTCTGGCTCCATCTCTTCGTCCGCTCCAGAGTCCGGACCGACCTCCGACGAACCGACCGGGTATGAGGGGAGAGGAGAGCTGCCGCTAGCCTCGCCCGGCTCTTCGGCCTGGGCGCCGGCCAGCAGAGAGGCCTGCCTACCTCCTGGAAGCATCCGCTCTGTCCCGGATGCGTCCATCTGTCGGAGCGCCCAGCTCACGCTCTCGAAGTCGATCCTGCCCAGCGTCAGGGTCCTCAGGTTCTGCATGCTCTGGGCGCTCAGCCCGGTGCCCTCCTCGAGCAGGAACCCCTTGATCTTGGACGAGAGGATGAGGTCGTGTCCCTCGGCCTCGAGGAACTGTGCCTCGCGCCTCGCTACATGCTGCGTGAGGGTCTCCTTCGGCTCGCGGGAGGCCTCGTACAGAGCTCGCCTGCCGCTGCGTCGGAGGTCGCCCCCCTCGCGCTCGCCGATCATGAGGTCCATCTTCTTCAGCACCACATCTATCCACTCGTCGCTGGTCAACATACTCTCTGGTATGTTGTCGAACTGCGTCTGCATCGTCCACTCGAACAACCGAAAGAACTTCTCTGAGCGCCTCCAGACAGGAACGTCCGTGTTGGTGTGTCACCTCCGGAGGGCCTTGCGCCAGGCGCTGTAGTGCGACCAGCCCGGCCAGGAGGGGGCGTCGCTGTAGCCCCCCTTCCCGTGCCAGCCGCCGCCTCCGCCGCCAGCACCTGGAGCAGACCACGTCCGCTGCCAGCTCGTGTCGTAGTCCCTCCACGCGCCGTCCGTCCGGGCGTCCTTCTGGCGGTCGTCCTTCCAGCGGCTGTCCTTCCAGCTGTCGTCCTTCCACTCTTTGTCATTCCAGTCGTCCTTCTGCTGGTCGTAGTCCTTCCAACCATGCCAGCGGTGGGAACCCTGGGCGGCACCATCTTCACCTGCTGCTGCCTCTGCACTCTCCCGCCAGGGGTCCCAGCCGCCGTCCTTGGGCTCGTCCTGACCCTGGGAGCTGCTGGCTGCAGGCCCTGCTGATGTCACCGTCCGCATGGCCTGTCTGACTGCTCCAGCTCCCAGCTCCGTCAGCTGCTGAGCTGACAGGGTCACAGCTCCTGGAGTTCCCTCTGCCGATCCTGTCGCCGCTGGTGGCGCTGTCGGCGGGGTCTCCGAGAAACCCGTCACTCCTTTGCTGTCGTCGTCCTTGCCGTTCTTGCTATCGTCAGGCATCTCCGTGTGCCGCGCCGCCCCGTCGGCGCGAGCCCGGAGACAGCAGGGGGCTCGCGAGCAGCGGCCGGGCTCGCCCCCTCAGGGATGCCCGCCGCCACCCATGGCCGCCCGCCGCACCAGGCTCCGCTACCAACTGTGGCAGCAGCAGGGGCAATAGATGCTTTTCCCTTGAGCCAAACGTGTCACAACGGGTGAAATATGACAAGCTAACCATATGCTAAACCTGACGGGGAAAATCTGGAGACCAGCTACATTCCGACGGCGTCAGACGGACCAGGAGCCCACCAAGACGGCCGAACATGGCCCTAAGATGGCCCAAGACGGCCCAAGAGGCCTCCAAGAGGGCCTCCAGGAAGGCCCGAAAAGGCCAAAACCATTGATTTCCCAAGGGTTTTTGAAGGATTGTGGCATTTGCTTTTGTTCTGCCTTCCGACGGCCCGAGACGGCCCAAGTGCCCCCAAAGATCGCCCAAGAGGCCCAAGACACGGCCCCAAGAGGCCCCCAAGACGGCCCAAGAGGTCTCCAAGACGCTCAAGATGGCCTCCAAGACGGTTCAAGAGCCCTCCAAGACGTCCTCCAAGAAGGCCCGAAAGGGTCAAAATGGCTCCAGACGGCCAAGATGACCTTCAAGATGCCCACGTGTTCCCTGAAGGCTTTCCAAACCGATTCGGGGAACACATGGTCCGATAGCTTGGCAGGTCTGGCATCAACGTTCGGCCACATAGGCGCTTCCAAAAAGGCAGGGGGCGGCGGTAATTCGCCGTAGGCGTCTTCGATCCGCCGCTCCCTGTTGGCTTGCCACAAGGGTGCCCGGCGTGCTAGACCCTTTCGGTTTTGGTTTTGGTTCTTTTCCAAAAGAACTCCCCCTGGGGCTTCGGCCCGTCCTGCGGGCCACCCGGAAGGGCGCGCAAAAGGTGGTTGCAAAGGTTTCTTCTGCTCCAGACGGCTCCGAGATGGCCTCCAAGTTCGCCCAAGATGGTCCAAGATGGCCTCCAAGAAGGTCAAAACGAGTCCGAGATGCCTCCAAGTTCGCATACATAACACCTAAGACGGCCCAAGACGGCCCCAGAGGCCTCCGAGAGGCCTCCAAGACGGCCCACGAGGCCTCGAAGAGGTCATCCAGGGTCCTCAAGGACAGTCCGAAAAGGTCAAAATCATTGATTTCCATATATTTTTGAATGATTTTTACTTCTGCTCCTTTTCGGCCTTCCGACGGCCCAAGACTGCCCAAGAGGCCATTCAGATCGCCCCAAGAGTGCCCAAGAAGTCTCCAAGACGGCCCACGAGGCCCCCAAGAAGGCCCCAAGAGGGCCCCAAGACGGCCCTCAAGAGGCCCCCAAGAAGCCCCAGATGGCCTCCAAGACTGCCAAGAAGGCCTCCAAGACGGCCAAGATGGCCCCAAGATGCACCCAAGACGGCCCAAGATGGCCTCAAGATGGCCTAAGACTGCCCAAAAGGCCCGCAAGAGGCCTCTACGACGGCCCAAGAGCCCTCCAAGAAGTCCTCCAGGAATGCCCGACGAGGCCCAAAGCATTGATTGTCCTTTGGAATCTGACGGATTTTTGCATTTTCTTCTTTTCAGCTCTCCGACGGCCCAAGACGGCCCAAGGGGCCCCCATCATCGACCCAAGAGCGTTCAAGAGGCCTCCAAGATGCCCCCATGACAGGCCAAGATGCCCTCAAGAGGCCCCAACAAGACCCCAAGACGGCCCAAGAGGCCCCCAAGACGGCCAAGATGGCATCCACGACGGCCAAGATGGCCTCCAAGACGGCGAAGATGGCCCCAAGATGCACCCAAGACGGCCCAAGATGGCCTCAAGATACAAAATCATTGATTGTCCTTTGGTTTTTGACGGATTTTTGCATTTTCTTGTTTTCAGCTCTCTGACGGCCCAAGACGGCCCAAGAGGTCCCCAACATCGACCTATGAGCACCCAAAAGGCCTCCAAGATGGCCCAATACAGGCCAAGAGGCCACCCAAAGGGCCCCAACAAGACCCCAAGAAGGCCTTCAGGATGGCGAAGATGGCCCCAAGATGCACCCAAGACGGCCCCAGATGGCTTGAAGACGGCCTTAGACTGCCCAAAAGGCCCGCCAGAGGCTGTCCAAGACCCCTCCAACACGTCCTCCAGGAAGGACCGAAAACTCAGAAACCACCGCGTCCGATAGCTCGCCCGACTCCGTGTTCCCCCAAGGCTTCCAAAACCCGCTCGGGGAACGCGCGGCCCGATAGCTTCCCCAAGCTCAAACCCAACTTTCGGTCACGCAGGCGCTTCCAAAAAGGCAGGGGGCGGCGGTGATTCGCCGTAGGCGTCTTCGGTGATTCGCCGTAGGGGTCGGAAGAAGTATATAGAAACATGACATAGGAAAGCGTTGAAATTAGATTGGAGTCCGTCCGCCCCCTAATGAGGACGGACAAGGTGAAACCTCTCGACCATTGAAGTAGAAAGGCGCTGAAAGTATATTGAAATCTGGGAATCCCAAAATACCTACTTTCAACCACCGATCGGTATAGACTTTGGAGGTCCGTGTGGACCTTCGAACGTTTATATGCTAATGCAACTTGTGAGTCTTCGAGTTTTTCCCCTAGAGCCCCTTTGCTTCATGGCATGAGCCAGGAGGGGAGGAGAGAAGGAGAGAAGGGTCGGCGACTCCGAAGCGTGTGGTCTGCAACGCGCACCCAGGGGGGGCGGGCGAGGACCTCGACAGAGTTCTCCGCCCGGCCCCTGTGGAAGAAAACGAAGGCAACGTGGTGCTCCCCAGCGTAAGCTCGCAGACCACACCCCGGCGTGACCACAACCTCTTCGTAGTCGCCGCACGGGGGTGCGGCCACGCAAGACACAGGCCAGGATAGAAACTCAATCGGGCGCGAATTACTGGGTGGGCGATAAATGGGGGGGCAGCGAGGGCTGCAGAAAAAGGGGCCCCGTAGGGCCCCAAGAGGGGGCCTTCGGGGCCCCGAGAGGGGGCCGTTAGGGCCCGACAAAGGCACCTTCCTCCCTCCCCGATATTTGTCGCCCTCCCATGACTTCGCGCCCAATCATCGGAAGCAGAGGCGCTCCGGCACCGTCGGCCCCGAGGCCAGACTCGGCCCGAGCATCCCAGGATGGGGGCGCGAGGCCACCAGCGAAACGCTCGGCGGCCTACGCAGAGGTCTCCCAGGATCAGAGCAGATGGAGTCGGAGGATCGCGCCGCATCGTCGATGCATCGCCGGTGCCTCGTCGATGCATCACTGATGCATCGGCAATGCACTGGCCACGTCGGCAATGCATCGGCGATGCACTGGCCACGCCGGCGATGCATCGGCGACGTCGAAGTGGAAGAAATCGGGTTCCACATCGAGCCGCATCGCCGATGCGTTGGCGATGCGGCGCGATCCTCCGACTCCATCTACTCGGACGTCATCTGGGAGGCCCAATCACTCGGCTCGAATATCTGCGCGCCCTCGCGCGCCCCCCCCTGGAGAAGGGCAACCGCTCTGGTCCAGACCGTGACGCGTGCAGCGTGACTATCTTCGCGCCCCCGCGGGTGACCTAGAGGTCTGCTCGAGCGCGCCTCCGCGAGGTAACGAGGGTGCTCCTGGAAGCAGGCTGACGAGGCGAGGTGGGTCCTCTGTGAGCGTGATGAGCAAACTATGTTGGAGGCGGCTGGGGGGTCCTGAGCTGGTTGGGCCCCGAGGGAGATCAGCCAAGAGGTGGGACGAGACCACGTCCATTCAAAATCGATCCCCGGATCCCTCCCGGGCTCCCGTGGCCCATCTGATGTAAATTCTCACCCTGAAGCCGTTTCTGACAGTCCCAGAGGCTGAACAGAAACAGACAGCCAACCCCTCGCCATCGCTCGGGCGTCCATTCCCTGTGTTTTTTTCGGTTTCGTGCGTGGTTTTTTTGCCAAATGATCAAGGATGCTCCTCGCCGAAGGAAAAATGCACACGTCCGAGCGATGCCGAGACCCGAGCCTCGAACCTGCCGCCCCTTCCTGCTCGCTGGAGCCACTGCCGGGCCACCCAAGACCCCCGGCCGGCTCCAAGGCTGAAGAGACGAGGCGGGTCCTCGGTGAGCGTGCTGCGCAAGCTACGTGCGTGGCTTCTGCTTCGCCCGCCGCCCTGGCTGATGGGCCTCTCTTCCACCGCCGCCACCAGAAGCTGGAGGGGGGAAGGACGAGGAGGAGGAGGAGGAGGAGGAGGAGGAGGAGGAGGAGGAGGAGGAGGAGGAGGAGGAGGGGAGGAGGAGGAGGAGAGGAGCAGGAGGAGGAGGAGGAGGAGGAGGAGGAGGAGGAGGAGGAGGAGGAGGAGGAGAGGAAGAGGAGGAGGAGGAGGGGGAGGAGGCGGGGAGGAGGAGGAGGAGGAGGAGGAGGAGGAGGAGGAGGAGGAGGAGGAGGAGGGAGGGGGAGGAGGAGGAGGAGGAGGAGGAGGAGAGGAGGGAGGAGGAGGAGGAGGAGGGAGGAGGCAGGAGGAGGAGGAGGAGAGGAGGAGGAGGAGGAGGGGAGGAGGAGGAGGAGGAGGAGGAGGAGGAGGAGAGGAGGCGGAGGGGGGAGGAGGAGGAGCGAGGAGGAGGAGGAGGAGGAGGAGGAGGAGGAGGAGGAGGCAGGAGGAGGAGAGGAGGAGGAGGAGGAGGAGGAGAGGAGGAGGAGGAGGAGGAGGAGGTGGAGGAGGAGGAGGAGGAGGAGGAGGAGGAGGAGGAGGAGGAGGAGGAGGAGGAGAGAGGAGGAGGAGGATGCATGGCCAGATGTTTTCTCCGTCGCCAGGGACACGATCTGTGTTGGGATGTGCTTGCCCCCGAGACTGCAGGGAAGGGGACAACGTACAGACCAGGAAACAGTACTGTATAACATCCGCCTGCCAATGCCTCGGCCAGCTTTACAGAAGGGAGGGGGGGTTGGGTGAAAGCTTGAGCCCCGCGGTTGCGGCAGGGCGGCGCACTCTGCAACTCTCTTCCAAGCAAACCCTTACTGAAGTAGTCGAATGCATGGCCAGATGTTTTCTCCGTCGCCAGGGACACGATCTGTGTTGGGATGTGCTTGCCCCCGAGACTGCAGGGAAGGGGACAACGTACAGACCAGGAAACAGTACTGTATAAAATCCGAACCAGTGTAAAGCCCAGGAACAGTAAAACCTCCGCGAACACCGTTCTGGACTCAAACATGAGGCCGAAATTTATTAGCACGTTGTTGCACTAGAGCAGCACGGAATATTATCGCAATGGCTCGGCATACAGAGAAGGGGTAAACCTCCGCCTGCTTTGATACGATCTTGGAGCCTTTCATCTCCAGGGTAAAATGCGGGGAGCCAGTGAACGTACATACACCTTTGCCTCTACATCGAATATCCAGTGGTCGAAGATCAACGTGACACCCAAGAAGTCGGGTAGATTTTCTCCAGACGGTGCCGAAAGCGCACATGTCGAAAACCACCTCTGAAACACCAGGAAGCTGCCGGACCTTGAGGACCTGGGGTTGTCTCCAAAGATGAGAGCTCGCAGGGTTCTCGACGATCACTGGGCACCCAAGCAAATGGCACTCACGGAAGATACTGAAACTCGCGGCACACAGGGAGTTTCCGAGGTCGACTTCTTTGCGGCAGCTGTCTGAGAGCTTGGGGAGGCCCTCGGGGTACTCGGACGCCCTGAGGGTCGGGGGACCGTTAGGGCGGTTCCGTGCAAGAGAGAAGGAATTACACGGCGTACCCATGAACACGGCCGTCACGAGCCCACCTCGGACCCAGCCCCGAATAAGCTTGACCAGGGCCTTACTGCACATGTCATGCTCAACCCCGTGCCGTATGTCGATCTCGAAAACAGGGTGGCCAGCCGACCTCATGGATCGGCGCCAAACCTCAGACAGGTGCCCGGGGCCAGCGAAGATCTCGAGGGCCGCGGGGACGCCCCGCTGCTTCACAAAGAGCGGAAGGCATTCACGAGGGTTACGCCGATGTTCGAGGCCGCCAGGTCGGCGGCGATGAGGATGTCCTGGGACAAGAGGCTCAGCTGCTCGTTGATGCGCCCGCCCCGCTCGTAGCGGGCCAGGCTGCGGTCGCTGGCCCAGCGGCCGCGCTTCTTGGCGCTCAGGAGAGTGCGAGCCTTGAAGAGGAGGTCGTGCGACACCCCTCCGTGGCGGAGGCGGTGCAGACACGGGTCGCCCAGGGCAGTGAGCCCGCAAGCGGACGCCGCGCCCTTCAAGGCCCGGCCCCACTGCGCCTGGCCGAAGTTGAAGACCAGCGAGTGGGGGAACTTGGCCTTCAGGAGGCCCAGCACCTGCGGCAACCACGGGAACAGGGGGTTGTCCGCTAGCAGGCTCTCGTCCACGCGGCCCGTCTTGGACGTGGCGCCGCCCTCTTGCGGGTGCAGGAGGAGGGGCCACATCTGGCCCTGGCCGTCCTGCACGCGGCGAGGCGCCTGGGCGGGAGCTGTGATCAGCTTCCCCTGCAGACGCAGGCACTCGCTGGGGCGCAGGTAGAACGTGAAGGTGATGATGCTGGCCTGCCTCCGTCACCTGGCCCGCGGCAATCATGTGTTGCACGCACAGGCACAGGGCGACCCAGGGGTGCGGCAGGCGGCTCTGGGCGGGCACCATGCGCTTCCAGCCCGTCAAGGCGCGAAAGCTGCGGGGCAGCTCGAGGGGCGCTCCGTTGGGGTATGTCCAGAAGTAGCAGAGACCCGCGATCAGCTTCGTCGACACGTAGGAGAGCTCGCCTGCGAAGAACTTCTCGTGCATGTACGCCACGAGGGCTAGGTCGATCGCCGGCGCCGACCTCAGCGAGGTCGCGATGTCGCTGAGCAGGTGGCGCTCCTGGCCCCGCTGGTAGAACGCCGTCGCGTACGTCTGGTAGTCCTGGGCGACCTTCGGCGAGACGCTCTGCAGCTCGAGGAAGGTCGGGGCGCCTGGCGGCGGTGGGGCCTCTGCGGCAGCGGGGAAGGCCCTCGCCCGCTTGGCGGCCCTCGCCTCCTGAGCGCCGGGGCCGTGGGGCACCCACTCGCGGTATGGGCGCCGCGAGGAGGGCGCCGGGAGGTTGGGCGCCACCTCCGCACGGGGCAGGCCCCCGGCGTGGGCGCCCAGGGGGCACGGCACCAGCTGCGGGCCCGCCGTCACGGCTGTCGCCGAGGAAGCCATCGCGGGGGACCTCGAGCCCCGCGGGCCCGAGTGCTGCAACTGGATTCGGCGCAGCATTGAATCGGAAAGCTCCTGCCCGACCTCGAGAAGCGGCATCGGCTGCGTTGGATTCTGATGGGGCCCATCTCCAGGCGATATACGAGTTAGAGGCCAGCAACATGGCAGCCGTCTGACGGCAGCACTGTAGGACCCCAGGGCTCGACGATCGTCCCTTGGTAAACGCAAGAATGGGAGCCATGCAATCGTTCAAAACCAGGTGCTTGCAACCGAAGTTCTGAGTGTTCCGAACTATGTTCTTCACGGTGAGCACGAGCGACCGAGCCTCCAAGACAACCTGGGCCTCCTTGCGGGACCACTTCTGGGACATAACGAGGGACCAGTCGCCGCCGTAGACCGACTCTGGGACCTCGGGGAAGGGGGCCTTCGGGATCTCGGAGTCCTGGGGGGAGGCGGTGACCCCGCCGCTGACCGAACACTTCAGAGCCGAGTCCCGTGGCTTGAGGATGGCCTCGTGGGCCGCTGAGTAACGCATGCGCTCCGTATAGTGGCCCACGTGCTGGACTTCCTGGACGCTGCGGATGCCCCTGACGACCCCTGCGCCCCACCAGGACGCGTCGGTGCAGTAGACCATGGGGGGCCAGGCGGCATTGACGTCGCGGAAAGAGAGTGCGATCAGCGCGGCACACCAACGAAGCTCCCGTTTGACTGAGCTCCAGAGAACACGCGTGTGGTGGCCGGACGACTCGATGGAATAAAACGAAGCCTGCAGACATGGGAGTAATTCGCGGCGCAGCAGAGCCCGAGACGTGAAGTGTGACACGACGACCCTGACAAGATCCCCCGAGGCGTACTTCATGTCCGCGACAGCCAGACACCCTAGTCGTATTCGCCAGCCTATGCGGTGACTGATCCCGATCGTCGGGGCGTCCTGGTCGAAGGTCCAACCGAGAACACCCCCTCCAGCCGACACCGTCGGACCGTGGGTGCGAAACCCAGCGTCTCGGAGACTGCGATCGACGGAGTCAGTCACGGCATACGTGGGGTCCTTCGAGAGGCCAAGGGCAACGAAGTTGTCAACGTACTCTGTATGTAATACCTGCGTGGAAGATCGAACCAGACGGACAGGAAGGTGCGCATCGTCAAAAGCCAGACTGGGGGAAGCCAACGTGTTGGTGCGGGCCCGGAACTCCATGATACGCTGACAGATCCAGAGACTGTCCCATTGGGGCGGCGGTAAAGCACGGGGTAACCCAGTCGCTGGCCCTCAAGGGGCCTCCAGCGCTGTCGGTAGTGATACCTAGGGCCCCAGCTCGTACTCGAGGTAGCCCGAAAAAACTGCCAGAACTCCGGAGGTAGCTGAATCCCATAGAAGGCATTCTCAATGTCCGTCTCCCCAACATAGATAGGCCCCCCACCGTCAACCTCCAGGGCCGAGAACGCCGACCCAGTAGCTAGGTCAACGTGAGGGGGCTCATCGAAATGCTCGCCTGCCTGACGCCCGTCGAGGATCAAACGAAGGTCACCGTTCTTTTTAGCCACAAAGAAGACTCCCACGCAGGATGTACACTCTCGCCTCCACGTCACAAGGTTAGACTGACTGAGGCGAAGCAGGAAGCGCGCATAAAGCCGAGGATGAGAACGGAGATGAGGATCGTGGTAAATTCTGGGAGGAGGTGTAGAAGTATCTGCAAGTGCTGGGTCAGGACGCCGTAGCGCATGCAGCTCATCAACTATGGCTTCGCCGACGGAGCCGCCCAGCTGCAAAATTCCAGCAGGTGACCACCCGACAGGAGGAAGGGTAACTCTGTTTATATTGGCCTCGCTGATGAGAACCACGGGGCTGCTCGTCACGGAGTAGCCTGGGTTAACGCGGAGCTCTCGTAAGGCCCCTGCAGAGGTGAGGTCCGCCGGGGGCTTGCCAAATCGTAGAACCGCACGGTGGATATGCTCCAAACACGCCTTCTGGGCCGCCGATACTGTTTGACCGCTGTCCGAACCGTGTTGACCGTGTAACTGATTCAAGACCGAAACCACCTCGGAGACCAAGGATGCTGACTGACGGTGGACCTCGAATCTCCTCCGAACTTTGCGCGAGACAGAAGTCCTAGGGGGGTCAGAGGAGGCCGGCACAGGCAGGGGAAAAATATCACGAGGGCACGCTCTCGACATGGGGCCAGGCGCCACGCGATGGCCAGAGCACGAGGAGGACAGGAGGAAGGGGGAGATGATGGCGCGGCCCTGCGCCTCTGCTGGCAGAAAATCGAGGCGCGCCTGCCACGGCGAGCCTAGCCCCACAGAGTGTGAACAGCGGGCGCCAGGGGGAGCGACCGCCGTGCGTCCAAAACTAATTTGGACCATGGCCCGCATCAGCCCGCTCTTCTCGGGCTTTTCGGACCTGCTTTAAAATGTTGGCATCGCGTTCGACTTGCTTGCCAACCCGCTCGACCAAGGCGGGGCACACCATGGCGTCTCCCGTCTCACGCTGCCCCCGGAAGGCGGTGTGCTCGTCCAGGTAGCCGAAGGCGCCCGCGGCGCCTCCTCGTCCTCGGCCTCGGCCACGGCCCTTCTTCTTGGCATTCAGGTCGCCGTCGGCCACCTCGGTGCTGGCCCCAGCAAACCCGTCGTGCTTGGCATGCGCGTACTCGACCAGCTGCACTTTGCGCATCAGCGACTCGATCCCCGCGACGTTCGGCAGGTCGAGCGAGTCGTAGGCGCCGAGGGTCTCGAGGGCCTTCATCCCGAACTCGTGCATCGGGACACCCCAGCTGTCCTTGTGGAGGCGGTGGACCATCACGAAGAAGCGGTGGTGGTCGAGAGGGCCCCCGCCCCGACGGTCGATCCATCGGCAGCGCCAAAGGGTGGTGCGGGGGCCCTCTATCGCCCAGTCGGGGAAGGCGATCTCGGATAGCGAGCTGGCCACGTCACGCCAGGCTCGACGGGAGCGTTGACCATTCACCGCGATCACGCTGAGGAGGCGGGCGTCACCCGCTGCCTCGAGGCCCTTGAAATCCTGCACCTGGTCGGAGCGAATCGTACGAACCAGCAAGCCACCATAGCCAGGAGCCGTGTGGATGCCGACGTCGCCAGACATGACCTCCGTGCCGTTCGGAGCCACTGGAGTCCCACGCGGGCCGTACGTCGTCGTCTCAACCGTGACCATCACCGGGTAGGGTGCCGCTGCCACCATGCCCAGTCCTGCGCCCAGCGGGGCCCCAGCTGCAGGGGCGCCAGCAGCCATGGCCGCGGGGAATGCGGCCGGGGCGGCGGCTCCAGGCGCCGCGGCGGCCAGCGGGGCCGCCACCACCGCCCCCGGTGGAGCAGCGCCAGGCAGCGCGGCTGGGGGTGCTCCGAGCAGGACCAGCGGGGCGGCGGCCGCGGCGGGGGCGCCCAGGGCCGGAGGGCCCGGGGGGGGCGCCATCCCAGGGAGCGCCAGCGGCAGCCCGGGGGCTGCGGGGGCCGCAGCGGCGGCCGCGGCTGGCGCCGCGGGCGCGGGCCACACGGCGTCGACCAGGCTGCCCGTCGCCGGGAGCACCGCTGGCTGCCCTGCCGCCCGCTCGCGAGCGAGGAAGGCGGCGTCGCAGAACGCCTCGGCGTCCGCGCGCATCGTGGCGAGGGCGGCGGCGTCGGGCTCCTGCTGGAAGCGGTGCACCTGACCTCGCGGGATACCAGGCGGGGGAGGACGGAAGACCTCCGACCAGCGCCAGGCCTCGATGTCCCGCGAGGCCCCGGAGAGGTCGATCTGCTCGGGGTCGCCGTCCGGCGAGACGCCGCTGACCTCGTCGGCGTCAGTCACTTGAGTCGCCGAGGAGGCCAGCACCCCGACAACGCGCCGCTGGTGGTACAGCGCCTCGCCCTGGTACCAGAGCCACAGCCAGGGTCGTAGTATCGGTGGGGGCATCGCCGCCGCCATCAGTCCCGCGGCGGGGACACTGAGCCGTCAGCCAGCGCAACACCTGCCAGGTGCCCAGCGCGAGGGCAGGCACCACAGCTCCTCCGGCCGCGCCCAGCAGCAGGACTCCAGCGGACGCGAGCCAGCCAGGGAGCCACGGCGGCGCTGCCGCAGGGGTGGTGCAGGCTGGCTCGGGGGCCCCGGGGCAGCCTGGGCACGCGGGGCACTGCGGGCACGCTGGCGCCGGGGGGCAGTGCACCTCTCCGCACACGAGGGAGCCGCAGACAGACTCGGGGCACCTCGGGCAGGATCCAAGCCAGGCGAAAGTGGCCTGACCTGCCCAGTGCGCGACAGCCACCGGCAGGTCGGGCATGCGACGCGCGCGAGAAGCGTGCGCCCGCCCGTGAAAGCTTGAGCCCCGCGGTTGCGGCAGGGCGGCGCACTCTGCAACTCTCTTCCAAGCAAACCCTTACTGAAGTAGTCGAAGGAGGAGGGAGGAGGAGGGAGGAGGAGGAGGAGGAGGAGGAGGAGGAGGAGGAGGAGGAGGAGGAGGAGGAGGAGGAGGAGGAGGAGGAGGGCCCCCTCCCCCTCCAACTTACGGTGGTGGTGGTGGAAAGCAGGCCCATCACTGGCCCGCCCCCGCGGGCGCGGGCCCGTCCGAGGTCGCCCGTGGCCGGGCCGGCAGCTGGCCGCCGGTCGCCGCCCGTGCCGGGGCGGCCCCGCCGCCTGGCCGCCGCTCTCTGGCGGTCGCGGCGCGCCTGCGCCTCCCGCGCCGCGCGCTCGTCCTCCTCTCGGCGACGACGACGTGGACGACGGCGACGGCGGCGGCGGCGACGAGGACGAGGACGAGGACGAGGACGAAGACGGCGACGCCGAAGGTGCGGGCAAGGTGTGCTTCCACTGGCAGAACGCTGGAATGGCACAAGGGTGTCCGCTTTCTCCATACTTATTCATAGCAGTCCAGACTGTCATGCTGCACGACGCCATCGACTCGCTACACCTGGACGAGGAGCCGGGATATGTGGTCACCCGGGATGTTCTTTATGTCGACGGCACTTTGCTAGTATCCCAGCACCAATCAAACCTCTAGAACATGTTGAACGCTATCGTTGAGGAGGGGCGCAATTGTGGTTTGGAGCTGAATTGGGGGAAAAACAATACACATGCAAATTTTGACAAATCAAAAGGTTACGACGCCGACTGGTAGTGTATTTGGGAGGTTTGCTTGCATGTGACGGGAGAACGTCTGCGGAGCTATGCAGAAGATTGGGAGAAGCAAGCAAACTTTCCAAACAACTTAACAAACTTTGGTCACGCGCATCTCTGGGCTGGAGACGGAAACACAAGATCTACGACAACGTTGTTATGAACAAACTATTAGATTATTTTGATTCTTTGTTGTTGTTGAAAGCAGACAGATGCCGGCTCGATGCCTTCCATTGCCGATGTTTGCGACGCATACTTGGAATTCCACATTCTTTCATATCACGGAACAACAACGCAAGCGTTCTCCACCAGGCTGGGGCGGAACCGCTATCGCAAGTTTTTGCTGGGAGACAAATTAAGCTGTACCAGAAAATTGTCGCATATGGGCCTACTGCTTTAGTAAACAGAATTCTTTGCAACGGCGATGGGTCGCCGAAGAATTGGGCTCGCAAGCGCAGACGCGGACGACCGAGACAACAATGGGCGTCTTCAGTTTACAATTTGTTGCAACATGTTTGAGCAGGTGAGCAGATCTATCATCGTCGTCTTTATCCGTCGTCATCTTCAGGTATGGCGTTTGGTCACGCCCCCGTGCTTCGATTTCTTCGTGTGGCGTTTGGCCACACCTCTGTGCTTCGAGCGTGCCGATGACGTTTGATCACTTGTATTTTCCTGCCAACGCGTCCACCTGGACGCAAGGCTTCTGTCTGTCTGCGTCATTGGAGCTTTGGGGTTCCCTTTCCCCAAGAGCCCGAGGCGCAGCGCAAGAGGTGTGTATCCACATCCGCTGCGTCTTGGAATTTCGGGTTCCCCTCCCCAGGAACCGGAGGCGCAGTGGATATGGATAAAAGTCTGGTTCCTAGAGGCTAAATCCTGATTCCCAACCCTCCTGCGTTGGGTTCTCGTTTTGAATAGAGCACTGCTTGCGCCTTCCCGCCCCCCTCTTCCCCCCAACCTTTTGCCTCGCTCGTCGCCATCCCTGGGGGGCTGCGATCTGCGAAACTGTCGCCACTTTCGAGGCCTGCTGGGGGGCCCAGCGCAGTGTGCACTCGCGGCGGATTCAAATGAGACCCCGCCATCCCTGAAGGGCTGCGATCTGCGAAACTGTCGCCACTTTCGAGGGCTGCTGGGGGGCCCAACACAGTGTGCACTCGCGGCGGATTCAAATGGGACCTCGCCATCCCTGGGGGGCTGCGATCTGCGAAACTGTCGCCACTTTCGAGGGCTGCTGGGGGGCCCAGCACAGTGTGCATTCGCGGCGGATTCAAATGGGACCTCGCCATCCCTGGGGGGTTGCGATCTGTGAAACTGTTGCCGTTTTCGAGGCCTGCTGGGGGGCCCAGCACAGTGTGCATTCGCGGCGGATTCAAATGGGACCTCGCCATCTCTGGGGGGCTGCGATCTGTGAAACTGTCGCCACTTTCGAGGGCTGCTGGGGGGCCCAGCGCAGTGTGCACTCGCGGCGGATTAAAATGAGACCTCGCCATCCCTGGGGGGCTGCGATCTGTGAAAGTGTCGCAGTGTGCACTCGCGGCGGATTAAAATGGACCTCGCCATCCCTGGGGGGCTGCGATCTGTGAAAGTGTCGCCACTTTCGAGGCTGCTGGGGGGCCCAGCACAGTGACGCCACGCGGCGGATTCAAATTAGACCTCGCCATCCCTGGGGGGCTGCGATCTGTGAAACTGTCGCCACTTTCGAGGGCTGCTGGGGGGCCCAGCACAGTGGCACCCGCGGCGGATTCAAATGGGACCTCGCCATCCCTGGGGGGCTGCGATCTGTGAAACTGTCGCCACTTTCGAGGCCTGCTGGGGGGCCCAGCGCCGTGGGTACCCACGGCGGATTCAAATGGGACCTCGCCATCCCTGGGGGGCTGCGATCTGTGAAACTGTCGCTTTCGAGGCCTGCTGGGGGGCCCAGCGCAGTGGGATTCAAATGGGACCTCGCCATCCCTGGGGGGCTGCGATCTGTGAAACTGTCGCCACTTTCGAAACTGGGTCGCCACTTTCGAGGGTGGCTGGGGGGCCCAGCGCAGTGGGTACCACGGCGGATCCAAATGGGACCTCGCCATCCCTGGGGGGCTGCGATCTGTGAAACTGTCGCCACTTTCGAGGCCTGCTGGGGGGCCCAGTACAGTGGGCTTCCCGCATGTCTTTCTCCTGCTCTTCGTTCCCGACTCCCCATGTCCTCTTCGAGCCTGTAGTTGTCGCCCCTCGTTCTTGTTTGGTTCTCCTGCGCGTCATTCCATTGGCGCGTGTCCCAAGTAGCTTACATATCAAACAACGGATCTTGCAATTTGATTGTCCGTGCAAGTTTCGGCCAACTCCTCGTTTCCCATGATACAAATGGGTTGGGTACGTCACAGGGTAATTTTCCATATCCACTGCGCCTCGTCCTTCTGGCGCCCCATCCCAGACAGTCCAAGACGCAATGAAAGCATGTATATACATTTTTACATGTTTATTTCATGCCATGTCTATTTATATATGTATATATACATACTCAAATCTTGCCCGCAGAAAACGAAGCGGCACCAACACATAATCTGTCGGAACTCCGCGCTGATTTCCTGAATCGGCGCTGGGCCCCCGTCCCCCCCCCTGACAACAGGAATCTCAGCCTTCGTGGGCCCGAGCGGATCTCTCGCATCTGCGCCGCTGGGCCCCCCCTCCCTTGCCGGGTGCACGAGGGCAGGTCCCGCTCACATCCGGTCCCATGGACCCCTCCCGGGGCCGAGACCGACAAGTGCTTCGAGCGGAGGAGGAGGAGGAGGAGGAGGAGGAGGAGGAGGAGGAGGAGGAGGAGGAGGAGGAGGAGGAGGAGGAGGAGGAGGAGGAGGAAGGAGGAGGGAGGAGGGAGGAGGGAGGAGGGGGAGAGGGGGAGGAGGAGGAGGAGGATGAGGATGAGGATGAGG